TAATTTTAAACAAACAACACCAATATATAAAGTATCTTAAAATGCTAATAATCAACATACTAAAAAACAGTATTCACAAAATATACTTAATTTCATCTGAGACATAGTAAATTACCAACAAAAGAGAATATTTATAGTTCGGGGTTGATTGTGGGATCCGCTTGGAGCTCAGAAAGCACCAAGGACCCCATTTAGTAAAGATGTAAACAAAGTTATATTTTAAAAGCAACAATATTTCTCAAGTCAAGTCCAGTCAAATCTTCAAATAGGGACGCAGTGGCTCAGTGGCTAAGATGCTCAGCTTGTAGATCGGAAAGTTCGGCAGTTCAGTGGTTCGAATCCCTAGCGCCGCATAACAGTGAGCTCCCGTTACTTATCCCAGCTTCTGCCAACCTAGCAGTTCGAAAGCACGTAAAAAATGCAAGTAGAAAAATAGGGACCACCCTTGGTGGGAAGGTAGCAGCATTCTGTACGCTTTCAGCATTTAGTCATGCCGGCCACATGACCATGGAGATGTCTTCGGACAGCACTGACTTTTTGGCTTTGAAATGGAGATGAGCACCGCCCCCTAGAGTCGGGAACAACTAGTACATATGTGCAAAGGGAACCTTTTTTTAATCTTCAAATACCAAAGTCAAAGAAAGACCAAGAAGTTTAAGGAGGAGCACGATGGCTAAATATCACGACCAATGAAACAAAAAGAAGCAAAAATTATTTAAAAAGTTACATGGAGAAAAATCAGGTCCAAAGTTGTAAGCAGCTGAACAAGTCAGCGAAACCTACAGTGAGGGGCATTGATCTGTTTGAGGCTCTGCTTCAAAACTGAAACATCTCCGGCATTTTTGTTCCCACCTCACCTTGAAGGAAATACTTTAAGAACAGCATGATGAAGTTCCTGTAGTTTTCAGCACAGGGCATCTTTTCATCCTTAATTGAATTCATTTGGTAGAAAGAAAAAAAGGTTGGAGGAAGTGACCTTGACTATGTGTCAGAATGGTTAAAACAATTGGCAACTCCAAATCTCAACCAACAAATGCTCTGTCTTACACACCGGCAAAAAAAAACCAGAACACCAAATACAAGCTGAGAGGATAGGACCTCATAGATGACACCACTCTGTCAAAGACCTAAGAATACTCATCTCAAACGATCTAAGGCCCAGGGCTCCTGTAACAGCATTGCCAAAAAAGCATTAATAGTTGTCAACGTAATCTTGCGAAGCTTCTTCTCCGGTAACATTGCACTTGCTAACTAGGGCATACAAAACCTTTGCTAAACCAATTCTCAGATGCAGCTCATCTGTCTGGGATCCGCACCGGATATTAATACAATCGAAAGAATCCAGAGGTAATTTCACGAGAAGAGTCCTCCACTCCTCTGCTCGCAACAGAATACCTTATGCCACCAGGCTTGAAATTTTGGGCTTGGAGAACCTAGAACGACGCCCCCTACAGTCTGACCTAAGCATAGGTCACAAAATTATCTGCTACAATGTCCTACCTGTCAACGGCTACTTCTGCTTCAAACACAATAATACAGGAACAAACAATAGATACAAACTCAAGGTTAACCGCTCCCATCTCGACTGCAGAAAATACAACCAACAACAGAATAGTCAATGCCTGGAATGCACTACCTGACTCTGTTGTTACATCCTCAAACCCCCATAATTTTAACCTGTCTACCGTTGACCTCACCCCATTCCTAAGAGGTCCGTAAAGGGGGTGTGCATAAGTGCACCAGCATGCCTACCGTCCCTGTTCTACTGTCTCCATTTATTCTTACTCATTTACTGTGTTCATATTTATGTTTATATTTATACCTGTTATCTTTTACATGTTTGACAAAATACATACATACATACATGTTTGACAAAATACAAAATACATACATACATAATGAGCCGAGGTGGCGCAGTGGTTAGGATGCAGTACTGGAGGCCACTTCAGCTGACTGTTATCTGCAGTTCAGCAGTTCTAATCTCACTGGCTCAAGGTTGACTCAGCCTTCCATCCTTCCGAGGTGGGTGAAA